CTATGTTCAGATGATTTCAATAATTAACACAAAATATATGCTTTATTATAATTGTCTGGTTTAAACTATTTCCCTTAAAATTTGTTTAGTAGAGATTACTTTCCTTCTTTTGAAGGAAAGTAACACATGTATGTATTGATTGTGTCAAGGTCATATTGAAAACTATGCTTTTCCATAAAAAATATATTCTTCTAATGGCATATAATCAAGTTTGCACTTCATCAGTCATTAGAACTAACTGCAACTACTCAATAGCTATGTTGCAACTGCCAGAAACAAAACAAAACAGAACCAAAAAAACAATAAAACTGATTTCAAACTATTATGGCGTTGATTTGTCTCATAAAACAGAATAACATTCTCTTTTAAGATATGCAAAGAATATTTATTCCCCTTGAATTTATAAATGTTTAAAATATAGTTTTAATATGTATCTACCTGGTTCTACTGTTGTTGTTTTTTAATGTGATTAGTGTCTGAATAAGCTTTGCTTCAGGTTGTCACCATTTTCACAAATTCCACACATAATGACACACCCAAGAGGATAAGTCCCACAGTCTCGCTCCTGGGGGTCTAGCTCAGACAAGTTCACATTTATTCCGAACAAAACGTGCGCAGACATGTCAATGGATGTGGTTAATGGATGGCTGCAAACAGGCTTTCTCAGTAACATCCTTTCCTGAATCTTCTCAGGGTCCAATCAAAATAGTATGTTCCAAGGGAAAGCTTGTGGGGTAGCTAAAGTCAAGGTGGAGAGGGAGTTTAGAATGTTCTGGCAACTAGTTTGGGAAGATTACAAAGGGGTCATTTGGGTAGATTTTTTCAGGGAACATAAGACAATCACAAGGCTCATTATGAAGAAGATTTAAAGAAATTGAAAACTGCAAAGAAATTTCCGCTGAGCATTTTTTAAAAATCAAAACAGTGTACCTGCTTATTTTCCAAGGGTATTGAGGGATGTAGTATGATCATTTCATTTACCCCTTCCACCCTACAGCGCTGGTGCTGCCCCTTCAATCTTCTTTCAATTCCCAAGATTAAACTGTTTGAATCCCTGGAGGACACCCAACATTCTATTTTGGAGTGGTATAAATAAAAGAATGTAGAATCCCTTGCGAAGAGTTAGAGATATAAAAACACTGACATCAAAACTATATGGATCTAGGGAGAGATATGTCAAGAAACAAAGAATTGCTCTATATTTTGATATTTTTGTTTTGTAACCATTTCTAAATATATATATTTAGGTATCTATCACCTTTATATATTTATATATATGTAATTTTTTAATGAATGCCATACTAAACTTTCACATATGGGTTGAAACCATATAAAATTACCACTACTTGATTATTTATCACTCGGATGGCTGGATGGCTTAGTGCTTTTCTGTTACGCAGCAATCTGCAAGTCAGCAATTCATAACTGTCTGATAAAAATGAGACTCTACCCTCATAAACAATTTCAGCCTCAGAAATGTACAAGGGAAGGTTTCCCCTGTCCTAAAGGGTGACTATGAATCAGTATTTATTCAATGGCAGTGAAACAGAGAGAGAGATTAAAACTACTAAAACCACCAATCATTCGAGTGCTAGTGTATTCTTAGCTTGATAATTCTATTTAATCTGGGTCCACGTTCATTTGATAACTGCTGTTGGAATATCTGGAAGACATTAAAATAATGGGGATGAGAACAATGAAAGAACACTCAAGGGAGTATAGGTCTAGTAACCAGCATATATTTCGCCACATCAATCCACTTTAAATAAAATCTAGTAAAATAATGGGAAGAAACCTATTTCCAAAGTGGATCTAATCCCATAATATAAAAAAGGCTTAAAATAACTTTCAAATCCTTAAATTACTACCTTAAATGGCATCAGGAGTTACTATTGTACTAAACAAGTAATACCTTTACTACTCTAAATTCAAACAAGAAAGAAAAATTGAAATTCTAAGATTCTTAAGGTGCTTACAAGAATCAAGTGAATTATGCAAATCTAGAAAAAGAGATCACTATATAAATAGATATTTTAATGGTCTGCAGCCTGCAACCTAACCAGGAAGGGAAATCAGATAAAAGCTAACCTTGAGCTAACAAGGTTATGAAGGGTACTTACAAAATGAGTGCTTTTTGAAAGGAGTCAATTCTGAGTCTCCATATCATGTAGGCAAAAGTGTACAGAGAGGAAAGCTGCCTTTACAGATCATATCATACTGAAAGAAAATTAATTAACTTTCAAAAAGTGAATCTATTGGATCATTCACCCCAAAATAGCTACAGTACTTTAGTAGGGAACTGCAAGAAACTCAAGCCAGACTCCGAAGAGGATGTCATTGCTTATGCCAAGCGCATCTTGCCTCAGAAGCGGGAATAGTAAAATATATTAAATGGTTTTCTGACTATCCAGAGACATTTCACTGTGCAGATCAAAACAAATTATGGATAACATTACAAATAATGAAAATTTCAAAAAGCTTTTTCTCATGCAGAACTTGTATAGAGACGAAGAGATAGTTACTCAAAAGAACAGTTTAAGTTTAGGAAGATGTGTCAAGGTTGTATCCTTTTCACAATATTTATCGAATGTTCATGCTGAGTAAATATTTGAGATGCTGAACTATGTTATAAACATCAGGATTGAAGAAGATTCTAAAAACAATTTGTAATAATACAGAAGGCACAACCTTGCTTCTTTCAAACAAATAAGACTTTAAGTACTCACAAATGAAGATCAAGAATAACAACTATCAGTATGGGTTAGAATCAAACAAAGAAAACAAAAGCTCACAATTCAACTAATAGGCAACATCAAGATCGACAGAGAAAAGATTGAACTTATCAAGGGTTTCAATTTACTGTGATCAGCAATCAACTCCCAGGGAAACAGCAGTCAGGAAGTCAAATGACATATTGCATTGAGTAAGTCCGCTACAAAAGATCTCTTTAATTTGTAAAAAAGTACAGTTGTTACCTTAGAGAGCAAAGTGCGCCTGACCCAAGACAGGGTCTTTTAAATTGCTTCATATATGTGTGAAAGCTGCACAGTGAATAAGAACCGATGCGTTCAAACTATGGTTTTAGCAAAGAATATTGAAAATTCCATAGACTTCCAGAAAAACTGCCTAAATTTGTCTTGGGAAAAGTACAGCCAGAACGCTCCAGGAAACTATCATGGCAAGACTGTTCACACACTTAGTGTGTGTTATCAGGAGGGACCAGTCTCTGGAGAAGGACAGCATGTTTAGTGAAAGAGAGCATCAGCGAAAAAGAGAAAGACCCTCAACCAGACAGAATGCCACGGTGGCTGCAGCGATGGAGCAAACACAGGTACAATTGTAAGGATGGGACAGTAACAGGCAGTGTTTTGTTCCATAGTACTCAGGGTCCCTTTGTGTCTGCAATGGCACCGAACAGCAACACGGTGATGCAGACAGTTTTGGCTAGGCAAGTGGTTTGAACCCACCCAGAGATGCCTTGGGAAAAGGTCTGGCTTTAAAGTTTTAGTTTAAAAACTGAGCTACTGAAGCAGTGTTCTCTGACAAACGTTAGGGTCATCCCTGGGTCAGCATTGACTTAGTGGCAACTGGTTTTATTTATACTAATGTATTATTCCAATTTGTTAATGTAAAAAAAAAAATCTTTCTCCCTTGTTCCCAGAAATATCTGAATTCACAAAGGCCTTACTAATACCCCGTTAATAACCTCTAAAACCTAGCAATTTGAAAGTAACATCAAAGTACTTTAGGGTCAAGGAGGCCTAAAATATCATATGATCCATTCCAGTAATTATACAAATGAGAAAACTGAGTCATTAAGCATGTAAATTGGCAAGATCCCCTGGCTAATGGATAGTTAAGGACACTCTTGAAAATCCCCGGCACAGCTGCTTAACTCAGGATACCGATGTCCTGAGTGCAGTCCATCCATTTTTGCTCTGGGTTGAGTGTTTCTGTGTGTGTCTGTCTGTGGCTTAGAAAGGCATTAGAATACATAGGATTCAATTTTGTATTAATCAATTAATAATACTTAAATGGTTAGTAATCCTATTTAAGTCTAAGACTCTTTCTATAAGTTAAACTGTAATACCACAGGATTATCTGCTACTGGCCAACCCAAAGCAATACAATTATGATCATTAAACATCTAACAACAAACTGATAAAATAAACTGATAATTTTCCTTTACATGATGTACACTACACCAGAAGGGACAAAGATTTGCTCCATGATAAGGAAGTAATGACTTGAATAATCAAAAAGGTGGCTATTGATATTTTTATTCTTAAGTTTCTTATAAATAGAGTCAATTGGAAACTAAATAATCATACAAACTATGTAAATTAGATTGCAAATGCAAATTTTTACATGAGAATTAAACAGTAAAAACATGAATTGTATTAAAAAACAAATACTCAATTCCACAGATATGAGGAAAATTGGTTCCAATCAGTATCAATTAAATTACTTATAGGAGTTCATAAAACATTTTAATGTACAGATAATGAAAAAATTCTACAAGCTGTTTGATGCTCCCATATAGAGCATTAAGGATTCTCAAATTGATAGATCACTCTGCTACTAACTGAAAAGTCAGTGGTTTGAATCTACCAGCCACTCTATATGAGAATAATGTGGCAATCTACTTCCATAAAGGTAGATAGGCTTGGAAATCCTATGGGGCAATTTTACTACATCCTAATGTGTTATTATGGTTCAGAATCTACCAGTTGGCATTATTTCTTCACTCAAAATAAGTAATAACGTAATGGTTAAGCATTTTTGTCGGAACTGAAAGGTTGGTAATTCAATACACCAGTCTTGCCAAGGGAGAAATGGCTTGGGACTTTATTCCTGTAAAGATCACTGCTTAGGCAACCTATCATACAGCGTTGCTTAAATCAAAATTAACCTGACAAAATGCAACAAAATCAATCACATATTATGCACGTGAATTTATTATTTTTACTATATATATATATATTTAAACTCATACATACCGCAATATCTGACTTTCATCTCAAGTTTAATTGCACATTACCTAAAAAGAAAGAAATGGAAAGATTTTAGAATAAAATATAAGCATTTTAAAAAACAGTCCCTAACATTCTAGTAGCGTGATTGATTATTAAAACAGAATTTTCAGTTATTATTGAAAAATTATTCAGAAAAATACTTTACAGTTTCAATAGTAAGTCATGCTCAGAAGGGTTTTCCCACTGAATTACATAAAACTATATTTTAACATGATATTCCTCAATCTGTGTGTGTTAGTGTAGGTACTTTCGAGAAACAAATCCACAGCAACTCATGTATAAGAGAGTTTTATGTAAAGAAAATGTGCATCATGAAAACATCCCAACCCAATGCTGCCCAAGCCCACAAGTCCAACATTAACCCATTAACCCAACACCAGTCCACAAAGTCCTCCACCTCACAA